CCTACTATTTTATTCTCGCCCTCTCCGCACACCCTCCATCTATTTTTTTTCTTTCTATGCCGGAGGTACTCAAGATAGAACGCTTGTTTATGCTCTTCTTTTTTATGTGAACTATATTATTCTTATTACGTTCCAGATTAAGTATAAACAATTTTATAACTTCATCAAACGTACTAATGATAATCGAGTTATAAACTTAAAAGAATTATTTCTTTTAACAGACACTGTTATAAACAAGAAGGATCGAGAACGGCTGAGAAATTCTCTCAACAGACGATCGCCTTATCTTTCTAATAGAAGACAGAAAGATGATTGATCCGCCCGTTATTCATTATTATGAAGGATAACCTCTATTCTCTAACATTCACTAGAGTCTAACGAATATGCTTTCGATTAATTCTGATAATTAAATTTAAACAAAGTATTAGATGAAAATAATTAAGAAATACTTCTTCTTAATTGTTAGCTCCAAATATGTTCCATGGAATTGCTTTTTCATGTTTATGTCTTAAAATTGTTTAATGAACAAATTTTGCTTTGTGTATTTTTATCTCAATCTGAATCCTATTAACAAAATTTTCTATGACTGTGAACACAAAGTTCTTAAAACTTTTAAATGTCAATTGAAAAGTTAATTAATTATTATTAAAAGAGATTAAAAAATACAAAGTATTCCTTTGTTGATCGTTGCAGTTTTAAACAGTCTTCTTATTTTATTGACTTTTTAAGTTAACTTCCTCGATTAGAAATTCAGCTCTGATAGACTGAAAACAAAATCACTCGGCTATATCGACAAGAAGAAGGGTAAAATAGCCATTCTTTTAATTTATGATGTTTTTTCCCCTTTTTCGTTTCCTTTACATTTTCTCATGTCATTATTTTGTGCTTTTTTGTCAAACTTTCCCACCTACAAAATAATTTTTTTTTCTAATTTGCCCTTTTTATTAAGTCATAATTTTCAAGTGCTGTTGTTAGCCACTTACCTTCCCTCCTACAACTCTAACCCAATGCCGGTCACAAAAAAAAGCACAAGGGCACAACACAGTGGCTAGCGACCGACCAGCTACTTGATAAAAAGGCGCTCTTATTCCACGCGCCGAAAACACAGCCGAGTACTCACAACACTTTACTTACTACTATCACCAACACTACAATTACTACCACTATTACTACCAAAACAGTAAGCAACCCTTTTTCTACTACCACAACTGGCATCATTATAATTAAAACTACTATTACTCCTATTTTTCTAACAACTACTGTTAGTACTGCTGCTGCCTTATTACGGGGAGTAGTGAAAAGCAAGTTCTTAGTATAGTTTGCCGGCAACACAGAGATGTGCCTCCTTGAGCCGAGGAAAAAATCCGTATGCGTCCGTGAAAGGGAATAACCGTGATAGGAAATTTCCAAGAAGAAACACAAAATTGTGAGATTATTATTATTTTATTTCTTTTCTTTTTTTTTTTTTTTTTTTTTACTCATTGAGTTTTCACAACCGACTGTTTATTATTATTATTATTATTATTATTATTATTATTATTATTATTATTATTATTTTTAAATCCCGATTTCAAACGCAACACAATAAGAGAACTTAAATAACTAATTACTTACAAACTTTGTCATAAAAATCACACGCCACGAACATTCACAAGCACGTGCATCCACGTACACATTGTTCACGTGTTATATTGCCTTTCTTTAATTCTCGTTAAAATCGAAAAGAGGGAAAACTTGTGAGACAAAAACATAGAGGAGGGAGGACTGAAAATGTCTTTAAAAAAAAAAAAAGGAAAAAAAAGCCGAGAACAAAAATTTATATTTGTATTTCAGAACAAAAAGAATCTCTAACCTTTTTAAATTGAAAATTGATATTTAAGTTTTTTGTTTTCGTAATAAGAAAATCTACAACATTGACATATGCTAGAGAGTGTGTGTGTTTGTGTACACGCACGTTCTGGCAGATTTTATAGTAAATAAATACATTATATAATGTGCAAATACAAAACAAATGTGTTAAATCTGTCTCGATTGTGTGTGCAAAAATGCAAGTGAATGTGTTTGTTTTGATTCTTGTATATCGTGTTAGTGTGCAAACAAGCAACTTCCTTTTTCTCTCGAATAAGTTCATTCTTCGTTGGCGCACATCAATATTTACAAGTTTTCACATAACCACACAAATGAAATCCTTTACATCTCGTCTCTAGGCAACAGTTTTTTCCGTCTACAGATTCACCTATATGACATCCCAACTTTGGATGTCAGGGTAAAAAAGGGCTTTTTTTTTTAAATCTTGGAGAACAAAAATAACAATTAGTGTTATTAATTAATTGAGAATAAAAGAGAAACCTTTATCGATATTATGACAATTAGAATAAGAAACTCAAAGAAAACTACATTTATATTTTTTTTAATGTTTTAAAAAATAAAAGCAAAAGTAATATTTAACATCCTACAAATTTTTGTTGCCTGTTTTTATTGTTTAGTCTTTTTTGAGCGAACACCAAAATCTTCTGTTGATGAATCGTAATAATAACATTTTAAAATTAAGAAAATGGCCGTTTTTAAGAAAATTTAAGAAATCAAAATTAAATTTGACATTCCAATGTATATAGTTTATACACCAGAATTGTTTACTTAATGGAAATAATAAATTTAATTATTTAAACTTTCAATTAAAGCTAAAATGAAATCTTCAAGAATGTTTTTTCATTTTAAAAAATTCATTTTAAACTTAGGTATCGAAAATTTATGCTAAAAAAGTGGAGGTACCTAAACAAATTTAAACTTAGCATAAAATATTAATTTTCCCGCTTGTTGTCGGATTATGAAGTCAAAGTGACCAAACACGCTTCCTCTTCCCTTAGATGCTTTTTCTTCTTTTTTACGTTGATGCTATTCTTTTGCCCAGGGTGTTATTTATAATTAGTTTTAAATTTCTTGAAGTAACTATCAAAGCATTCAAAAAGTCTCAATCGTATTTTTATGAATATCTCTGCATAAAAATGCATGCATTTTTTTTTTAAATCGTTTTGTGCAACTATTTGCTTTGCACGCAAACCTGTATGCGTGTCTCTTGCCCATGTGATATTTCTTCTCACTGTCTGAAAATGCAAAGTTTCTTATTACAACCACGTCTACCAACTGAAGTTGGCAGAGACGACATTCAAAGTTATAAAGTGAATATCTTTGCCAAACCAGTTCGACTCATTCTTCTCAAGAAGGTATAAATATTTTTCTATTATTACTATGACGCGGGCATGTTATCACTGAAGGTAAGTTAATAAGAAAGTCTCAAATTTGAAAAGATAACCTTTTCTAATCAGCTACTTCAAATTAAAAACTTGTAAAGAACTAATCGATGTTGATCTAGGTATGGCCAACACTTCGCCAAAAAAAACAGTGTGGCATGAAGAAAAAAGGCCCCAAACTTGATAAAACAATTTTTTAACGTCTTAATCATTAAGACGTTAAAAAATAGTAATATAAACATTAAGACTTAATGTTTATAAGATAAAAGATCAAAGTATTTTCTGAATATTTTTTCAGATTTTTTAATCCTTCCTATAATGTTAAAAATTTTAGTTAAAAAATTTTTTTCTTTTTTTTTTTTTTTTTTTTTTGTCAATAAAATTTACGTAAAATCGATTGTGTCGGCCATTTTTCTGATTTTGTAAACAAAATCAAAATTATCAGTTTAAAAACATGTAAAATTCACCTTTTTCTAGACATATTTCAGGAAAATTACAAGATTTAAAGTATACTTAATGCAATTTAAAAGAAACATTAGTTACTTTTTTATCAGAAATTTTTTTAAGAGAGACATTTCCAATCGTAGTGCTTGGTTTTGGGCCTGATTGAGGGGTGTTAACTAATGTACGTCAATCAATCGACAACTTACGTTAGGGAAATTTATCGGATGGTAGGACCTTGAGCAAACATTTTATGGCTCATTTTAAATAATATTCTTGCACTTATATACACAAAATAAAATAAAAATGAACAGATTAAACGCAAATAATTTAAGTTGTATGAGCAAATCTTGGACATGCATACGCACATACACATATATAAACATACGCACACAAACACTCTTGAAAGATGCTTTTTAATTTAATTAATCAAGATTATAAAACGTCAAAAGCTTATCTTAATATTTTAACATCTTTATAATAACCAAAATATTTTTTAATTTATTTTCATTTTTTTTTTTAAATAAGTAACATTAAACCCGGTCACAAACGCTCGGTAAATTTTAATATAATTTATGTAAATATGCCAAATTCTTTATGAATTTCTAAAAGTATGCCCTGTATTTCCTCAGTTCTAACGATTTTTTTTACAAATTTAAAATTATGTTTTGTCATACATGTACCTCTTGTCGGCTATAGTCAATTTTCTAACATTGTTTTTATCAGGATCCTATCTATACTGATTGTTACCGTGTATGTTATTTTGAGCATAATCCTTAGAGATTGATGTGAGAGCATTTACAGATATCTATAGACATAGGTATTTATACATCAATATCTATATGTAATTAAACACACACACACACACACACACACACATATATATATATATATATATATATATATATATATATATATATATATATATAATGAATGAATGAAAAATCCGTTAAAAATAATTTACACCAGATAAAGATACCACCACATTTTAAGAAAGTGTGCTTTCTTTTTAATCTGTCCTAGATAATAAGAAAAACAATTAATGCTACATACTTAGCGTCCGTAGATGAGCGATAATTTTAAGAAAAGTTACAAAATCTCTTGGGCTTTCTCTACATGACAGTAATAAAAATTAACAATTTAACAGTTATTTCCTCTGGCCGTATAACTCTGCAAAGATCTAATGCGTAATTTCCCATTAACTGCGGTTTAATTCATTCACTATTTTGTTTTTTTAGTTTTCTGTGGAAACTTGAACGTACTGAATTTTTTTGTTCAAAAATCGGAAAAACATGTTCGAAATATTACAATCTTGGATATCTATAATGATAGATAGATAGATAGATAGATAGATAGATAGATAGATAGATAGATAGATAGATAATGAGATAAAAAAGACCATCAGTAATAGATAGATAGATAGATAGATAGATAGATAGATAGATAGATAGATAGATAGATAGATAAAGGTCATCTGTAATAGATAGATAGATAGATAGATAGATAGATAGATAGATAGATAAAGGTCATCTGTAATAGATAGATCTGATAGATAGATAGATAGATAGATAGATAGATAGATAGATAGATAGATAGATAGAAGACCATCTGTAATAGATAGATAGATAGATAGATAGATAGATAGATAGATAGATAGATAGATAGATAAATAGATATCTAAAGATATATATATATATATATATATATATATATATAGATAGATAGATAGATAGATAGATAGATAGACTGAAAAAAAACTGTGTATACATTATCTTCTAGAGAACCTTCTACTGTATCTTCATTCTCTTTTCGCACTGTTGACCGTATGCATGTGTATAAAATTATAGTTTATTTGTCGCTATTTAAATATTTTTTGACATTCAGTTTTTTTTATGCATAAAGTTCAGAGCATAAAACCAGATAAAGGTCACAAATGATGAAATTCAAGTAATGAGCGTTAGATTTTCGGGATTGTTACAATGGACAGAAGAAAATAAAAGTTTGATATCTGAATTGCAAAAAAAATATTAACATGCGCTTAATGATAGATTAGTAAAATTAATAATCCCGGAGAGTTGTCATTAGATTTCTTCTTTACAAGTAAAATGTACCCAAAAAGCATAGATACTGAAACTCATCTTCAAAATGATTTAGGAAATAAATATTGCGCGACCATCAGTTGTCATAATGCAGCTGCAATTATTGGTAACTGATAAACATAAAAATACAATAGCTTCAGTTCGGTTATAACAGCAATAATCTGCTATTTTAATTATCTGTCGAATTTGTTTTCTTTATTTCCTTTAACGAGGGCGGCCATAATTCACTTTTGGTAACTGTATTGTCAAGAGATTAGATATTTCATGCAAAGTGATTGTTAATGTTTGGAAGGTAAAGTCCTATGATGGTCACTGTTTGGAAAGGAATAGTCGAACTCCAAACTCGAAAACTGGCTCTTCACCTTTTGTTCTAAGTTTAATGCTTTTAAAGACCGTTTTTTGTTTTTCTTTCAAAAACCCACTTTCCATTTTTTTCTTCTAGTATTCTTTTTCTTCTAAATCTATCGCAGTTCTTTAGCAGAGTGGATAATCTCAAAGCATTTTAGCGCTGTTGTTTCAAAATATTTTATAACGCTAAATACATGAAGTTTTATATTGGTATCAAAAAGCAAAAAAAGCTTTTGTTTCTTAAAATTTGTTTAAAATTAAAACAAAACTGATTTATACTGTGTTAAGTGTTCATGCGAATATTCATCAGGATGATAGTTTTTTGTTTTTTGTAGCTAGCAAAAATCTCTTTATTTTTACAAAACTTCGATTGATTTTACTTACATTTTATTTTGAGTTGATACAATCAATTAAAAGAAATTACGTCTCTTTGGTAGTTTTCGTTCTTCACTGTAGAAACTAGCCATTGTGTCATGTTGTTATATATACGTTATTGAACAATAGTGACATTGGGTTGCAAGCTATGTTACTTGAAGTCTTAAACAGCGAAAAGCAAACTGGTTGGACTTATTCTCGAAAGAGGTAAAAACAAATGTAATAGATGATTTATAAGTTAGTTGCAACCACCAATTTTATAGGAAGACATTTTTCTTTTTATTCTTTTTTTTTTTTTTTTTGGTGTCGTCTAACTTTATTATGTTGTTCTAAGAAAAAGCCTATTGAATAAAAAATATACACTTTTAATAAATTGATATTTATTTTCCTTTTCTACTTCAGGAAATTTTGAAAGTAAACAGCAACACATGCCAACAGTTATTTCAGATTGGATGACATTCGAATAATGAGAGGCTACCAGTCGTAAGAAAACTGAGAAATCTCTTGGAAGACGAAAATGTAATTTTATTGACAACTCTGTGTATCTAGAAAGGCACACAATAAAAGATGAACAAGTTTCAAATTAATAGGGAAACCATTACGAAACTCATCAATAGCTTATCGCCCAATATATCTACGGAGTAATTTTAAAAAAAAAAAAGGCGGGGAAAGGAAAAGTAAAAAAAAAAGTACCATATGTTTGCAGGCGACTGGATCATGTAGCACATTGTCTGAAAAGTGATTCTGACTTCCTGGTTAGTAACTATTTTAAATTATGTTATATTATTTGATATTATTTTTAGTTCTTTACGTTTTTGACTTTTGTCTTTGTTTTTCTGGTTTTGCTTTTCAGTAAACATCTTTTATCACCATTTTAATTATCGCTATTTCTTAAACAATACACACACTTTTATACACTCCATCAAGCTTATATCTGATTTTAAAAAAATGAAAACCCTCATGTAATTTGTTATTTACTAAATGTAGCTTAATTTTTTGGCACAAGGCCCCAAATGTAGTGTCTCAAGTGGAGATCGACTATTGACCTATAAGTCCGGTATGGTGACTATTATACCACAAGAAGTCGTTCACAATACCGCATATAAGTTTTTTAAAAGTGATATTGGGTTGTCCAGAAAGTTCATGCAGATTTTTAAGGGATATTAAAACACAAAACAAAATTATGCCATTAAATATTTATCCAATTAAATATGAACAATTTCGTTGCACAACCTTTTCCCATTTTTTCTTTCAATTTAATGATTTTATCTTCCCGGAACTTTAGTGGTTTCTCGGCAAAGAACTCATTAAGGTGCTTTTTTTTATGTCATTCAAAGAATTAAAATTTTTACTCTGGAGATTATTTTACAAGAATCTGAATGAATGAAAATCCAAAGCAGCAATGTCTGGTGAATATGGCAGGTGGGGTAACATATCCCAACCAAGCTGCAACAATTTTTGCCGGGTCGCCAAAGAAGCGTCGGCTCTGGCACTATTCTACTGAAAAAGAACACCTTTCCTGTTTGCCAATTTTGGAAGTTTTTCTTGAACTGTTGCCTTTAATTCGTCCAGTTGTGAGCAGTACTTTTCAGAATAAATTGACTGGTTACTTGGCAGAAACTTATTGTTGTGGTAGGATTCACCTAATTTGCATAGTGGAGTACCGACCATATAAATATGGTTGGTACCGGGAAGAAAGGAAGGAATCAAGAGATTCACTCTCAGTCGAACTCTCTGCATTTTGCAGTGAGGGACCCGGACGAGGCTTTGCCGAGAGGCAGGGTTTCGTCCGGGGTGGTAGACAGGCCTTGAACCCGTCTAGGCGGGTTCAGAAAAGCCATATTTTTGGCCGAGCCTACGGGCTCGGAGATACCCACTTTAAACCGGCCTTGTGCCACATTTTATCCTCGTGGGTGGATAGATAAATACAGGAATCAAGAGATTCAACCAGAGACTCTGCCCGACTGCGACTCAGTCAACACATTCTCCAGGAACGGTCTTACCAGGAATATACAAAAGACTATATGTAAATATTGTGTACACTTTCTTGTTTCAATACATTTTGTTCTAAGTACATTTTGTGTTGCATTATTATTCCATGCATTAGTCAAGTTTCAACACTTATAGTACAGGATTCCTTTCCAATCCCACCCCATGCACAGCATGACTTTCTGAGGATGAAGAACTGTTTTTGATGTGGCTAAAGTTGGTTCATGTCCCTTATCCCACGATCTTTATCGCTGAACAATGTTGTAAACGATTCATTTCTCAGCACCCGTCACAATTTGCTTCAAAAAGGGTACATTTTTATTGCGTTTATACAGCAAATCACAGATGAAATGCGACCCAAAAGATTCTTTTCACTTAGATCATGTGACACTCAAACATCGTAGCGATTTGAGTACCCAAGAATCACTAAGTGCTCATGGATGATGGATTTTGATAAATTTGGTGTTTCTGCCAATTCCCGCGTTGTGTAACGCGGGTTATTTTCAGTCAATGTCTTGACTTGGTTGTCATTTGTACTGAGGAGTCAGCCTGAACGTTCTTCATCAATAAGGCTACAATCATCAACTTAGCAAACCACTTTCATACAGTTGTCAGCTAAAGCACCTTTGCTGCACACAGCACATGTCTTTTTTGTTGCTTGCGAGCCTTCTTTGCCTTTACGGTAAAAAAAAAGGCATCAAGTGTTTAAAATGCACCTTATAATCTTCCATTTTTCATAGGGATGTAAAATGGACACAAATTAAGTAATTTTAATCTTTATTTCTCAAGAGATAGTTTGAAGTGTGTTCTAATCGGAAATGTAAGCATATTATACATGTCGATATTTGACGTGCTCTAACGTTGTGGAACATGAACGACTAAAAAATCGGCATGAACTTTCTGAAAAACCCAATATTTATGCTCTTTATAAAGAAAAGCATTGTATTTCATGAGGTATAAGTTTATGTATAAAAGGTTTACATTCAATGATCAGAATTCTGTTAATATTTGCAGAGTAGGATTATTATGATTACTCGTAGCATTTACACAGAGCTTATAACTACGCTCTCATTTTTATAACTCGTTTTTTGAAAGGTGTGTAAATATTAATAAACAGTTTAAAAACATTGGTTGAAAAAAAGATATTTTCAAATCAAAAGATGCTATTGTATCTTACTCTATTTCAAAGTATGAGAAAATGTCTTGCTACATCTCATGATTAAAAAGAAAGATTTTAATGTACGCAAATAGGAAATAAATATACAATTACAAGAAAGGAATAATGCCTGATCATATATTTTGCTTTTCTTGTTGGTGTTTATCTTTAATAAAAGAAAATTGGGTCCCTCAGTTAACTATTATATAATTCCCATTTAAAATTAGCTTAGAATAATTTTAGAATGTTTTCTAAAATAAATCAATTGAAAAAAACAACAAATATTATGCTTTTAGATGTTTTTATTTATTGCTTATGCAAAATAACTCATAGTAACATATTAAATAACTCATAGTATCATATTAAATAACTCATAGTATCAAAATAACTCATAGTATCATATTAAATAACTCATAGTATCATATTAAATAACTCATAGTATCATATTAAATAACTCGTAGTATCAAAATAACTCATAGTATCATATTAAATAACTCATAGTATCAAAATAATCATGGTATCAGGGAATATCCAAGAAGGTAGTATAGAAAGGAGAGAGATTACTAACTTTGAAAATAGAAAGTTCAAAATTTTTACCTTTACCTAGAACTTGAGCACCGTTTATTAGCAAGAGAGAGAGAGAGAGAGAGAGAGAGAGAGAGGGGGAGGTATGCATCGGCACATAAGGTACATATAAAAAGAGATTTAGATATAAACACTTAAACTGTCTGGCAAAAACATCCATAAATCTATACAAATATGCTCAAATACCTACATATAATGGAGGTTAATTAAATTTTTCACGTCATTAATTGATAAATTCACCTGCAGTTACATCTTCACAGAAAGAAACATGCATGTATAATGACATTTATATATCAATGGTCAATGCATGTATACATAGATGCAATGATACAGTATGTATACACTTTTGAAATTCGCCTAACGTTTGAGTAGCACATGTACATACATTTACGTATACATAAAAAAGATACATATACATAATATTCTTGCTGACGGATTAATTTCTGTATATTGATGGGCATCGGAATTGTCTACACACGCAAATATAAACTTTTTTTATGCCTCTTGATTCCTTGGGGAACAGCGGGCTGCAACAACACCTCTGTAACGGATGCGGTTCCGGGCGATCCTTTTCAATTCGGCCCATGTCATGCCGGCAAAGATAAAAATAACATAATATTATTTTTCGGAAAAACTCATAACTAGTGCACAGTGTGCCACGATTTCTCCAACCAGCACTCCTCAGGTTTTGAATTCAGAGTTGTCATTCTCCTAGATTACTTAACCCAGATATATATATATATATATATATATATATATATATATATATATATATATATATATATATATATATATATATATAACTTTCCCACCGGTATTTCTGCGAAAATAAATGTTACGAATTCGGACTGAATTCTGTTTCCGTTACATTACACTCACACTCATAAAGATTTCTACCCTAAGCCTTTGTAACTTTAATTAAATCGCGCATGCGCGTGTGTGTGTGCGTTTAACTAGTCTGGCTGTTCAGTTCTAAGAACTGAATTATTAGGCCTTCATCCGTCGAAATTGAAGGGAGAGAGACCACTATTGTATTATATTTTTAGGTTTCTATACAATACTACCAAACACAGTGGAGTAATGGATAGCGGCTTGGATTGAGGAATCGGAGAGCAGAATTCGAATTCCAGTCGAATCCATTACATTCACTTACGTGCTAATACCCTTGGGAAATGTATCAATCCTCTTCTTCTCCCCAGCCCAGCTATGGGTAAATGGCATAACTTTGGATGGTAACTAGTCTACCGCAGAAAGAAATGGCAACTTACTACAGAAAAAAAATCTGCTTCATCAGTCATGTATCGAAAGATACATGATCGCCTAGGCGTGTAACACATAACTAGCTGACAGACTACCAAACAATCATCATCTGGCGATCATGATACTATTGTGTATATATACATGTATGTATATATACACGTCTGTGTGCATGTATGTATATGCATGTAGATATTGAAATTGATAATAGACGAGTTAAATGTATTAAATTACTTGATCAATTTTCCTTGTAGACAGATTCATTTCCTTATCGGAAACTGTCCACGGTTCATATCATATATATTATTATAACGAATATATACAATAATAATAGAATTATAATAATTAGATAGGTTAAGTTTAACATCTACATATATCGTATATCTAAAATTTAAATTTAAAGGATTAGCGCCTCTGTTTTTAACATATCGATGTAAACTATAAGCGGTGTTTGTTGTATTTCTCCCCATCAAGCCTTCACCACTTATATATATATATATATATATATATATATATATATATATATATATATATATTATTATTATTATTATTATTATTAATTAATTAAAGATAATCAATCTCTTAAAAAGCCTATAGGTAATAATTTTTATTTCATGAGAGCTTTAAAAACAGATCTCAAACTTCAAAACCTACAGACAAATATTTGTTACTTATGGGATTTTAAGAGTTTGATATTCTTTAATTAATAATAATTTTCCTCTGTCTCTTGACAGAGAGCACTCCCTGGATCTATATCCTCCTGGAAATTCCATACGGATTACCATAGTGTATTATTACTATATATATATATATATATATATATATATATATATATATATATATATAGAAAATATACGGAAAAACAAACAAAAATCCTAATATGCAATTATGCTGTTTTAATGTTAATATAATGTCAATGTCGGACGTTTCGGTCTAGTAGACCATCTTCAGGACATATTCATAAAACATAATTAACATAAGACTATAATCAATTCAGCATGAAAAGACGATGGACATAAGAGTAAGAATATTTTTGTCTGTTTTTCCGTATATTTTTCTTCATACTGTCGGATCTATATCCATATATTTGCTTATATATATATATATATATATATATATATATATATATATATATAGTAAACCATAGTATTATTATATATATATATATATATATATATATATATATATATATTGTCTGGAGAAGTTTCTTCTTAGAATGAAACGCGTCACTAATATGCTTTCCATCTTATCATTCATTTACCTGCTATTATTCTGAGATATTATATTATCGCCTTTCATAATTGGTGTAAAATAATAATATAATAATAATATATAATAATATATATTATTATAATATAATATAATAATATATAATCATAATAATGATCATAATAATAGGTATAAAATAATAGTATTTGATAATATTGATTACCTAATTAAGAGAATTATTTAATCTTTCTAGAAGAATTAATACAAACTGTCAACAGTTCCAATTCACTTTCAACACCAAGATATAGAAATTGATCTAGCAAGAAAAAATTATAAAAAATGTGCAGACAAAACCTGTTTGTATACATATGTGTGTGTGTGTGTGTGTGTGTGTGTGTGTGTGTGTGTGTGTGTGTGTGTGTGTGTGTGTGTGTGTGTGTGTGTGTGTATTTAGGCAGCATATCTTCATTCAAACATGTTTCATTGTCGGATATAACATCTGAAAACACATTCCTGTCCACCTTCACAAAACAGGAAAATACTTGTTGACAACACCAATATACTACAACACGAAAATAATAAACAAAACCTTCAAAATCTCGAGGCACTCTATATCAAAATCACCTGACCAAACAACACTCAACAAGATTTATTGCAAGCGTAGCAGCAACGCATTAAAATGAATATAACAATTATTTGAGGCCATTTTGAATTTCTACTAATTTCCGGGCAGCTCCTTTATATTGAAATGCTTGTTTTGCATAAAGTTTGTTCGCGCGTGATTGTTTTTTTTTTTTTTTAATTATCATCACAACGCAATGCAGATTTCATCGCAGTTACAACGTCAAAGTTACAATTACTCCTGAAGATGATCTTGGAAAAGATCGAAAGTACTTAGGTTAGCAAGAAACTACGGCGCCTTCCTTCATGAATTTCATCTTAACATCAAGAAACTGATTAGAGAACTGGAAAGGATCAGTATAAAAATAGACACAACATGTTTATATTATTCAATGAAATATATATACAGGGTGAGGCAGAGAGGAAGAAAAATATACGGAAAAAACAAACAAAAATCCTAATATGCAATTATGCTGTTTTAATGTTAATATAATGTCAACGCCGGACGTTTCGGTCTAGGTAGTCCATCTTCAGGCCGAAACATCCGACGTTGACATTATATTAACATTAAAACAGCATAATTGCATATTAGGATTTTTGTTTGATTTTTCCGTATATTTTTTTTTTGTCGGATCTATATCCATATATTTGCTTACATATATATATATATATATATATTAAATTATATAAAATAATAAATTAAATAGACAGAACTGTTGGTCGATGGTTGAGCTAGCATCGTGACCGAGGTTCGCGTATACTCGCCTTGTACAAACTGTCGAACATACCAGATTATGCCCTCTCTCTCTCTCTCTCTCTCTCTCTCTCTCTCTCTCTCTCTCTCTCTCAGAAACTTTAACTAAGGTCCCCTCGCATAGTTGTAGTATAAACCACAGATTGTCTCTGTGGGGGGTGCTGAACAAACACAAATGTGCTCGAACAATCTGGAATTAGCTAGCCATTCCAGGCTACTCGCATACAAGCGGTTAGCCATACATACTTCAAGAATTCATGTTTTATTAAAATACTTTATATTTTATACAAAAGAAACAACCTGTGTTAAACTTACATCTTTCAACATTTTGAAAGAATGCATTTTCAAAATGTCTTTAAAAATTTAAACACATTTGAAATCTTCGTCGTGGCGAATCCTTTTCTAAAATTTAAAACGCATACGACCTATATAAAATTACAAACCGTACTGTACCTGTATTCAATAAGCGTCCATTTAGATTAGAATGATACTGTTTCTAAAAATACTTGGATGAAACTAAGATAAATTGTTCCTTATTGTAACTATAACATTACCGTTTCTGATAATGTCTAGTAATAGCCGAATATACGCGAACTAAAACGTCATATACTTTTGATAGTATGACTATAAATTTGATCCGGATGTGTAAAAGCATATGCGCAAATTCAAAAAATGTAATAAAAATAGACAATCGATTGAGGATTGCGTTTAACATGAAACAGACTGTCGACCCTGAGTGTTGACTTCAATGTCCCCTTTTATATATATATAATGCAGTCCGTCAAAAACGAGTGTATTTCTTTTCATTTTTCATTTCAACCTTTGGAAGCAAAGTCTGATGATCCAGAGCCCTTTAAAAGGGTTGTGGTGAAATAACTTATTACATGGAACCTTAAAGTGGTCTGTTTTTATTCAAACATATTTGCTCTGAATTTTACATTGAGCTCTCCGGATATCATCCTCCTTGGGTCTACCCATGCGGATTACCTAGTTTTGCATAAACTATATATATATATATATATATATATATATATATATATATATATATATATATAATTAGTACATATGCGTGTACCTACGTTTTGGTATGCGACTAAAGTTTCCCTGGATTACAAGCTCGTCAGGTACAAGAACTATCTTGTTAAAAGTTAACAACTTAGATCTTGTGCTCGACGCGCTGGTAATCCTGCGAAACTTTAGTCACACACCAAAACGTAGGTACAAATGTATGTACTAATTAATATATATCT